TAGGCCTTTTAGAAAACATGGAGTGGTTCCTTTGGCAACATATATGCAAATCTACAAGAAAGGTGATATTGTAAACATTAAGGGAATGGGTACTGTTCAAAAAGGAATGCCCCACAAATGTTACCATGGCAAAACTGGAAGAGTCTACAATGCTGCCCAGCATGCTGTTGGCATTGTTGTGAACAAACAAGTTAAGGGCAAGATTCTTGCCAAGAGAATTAATGTGCGTATTGAGCATATTAAGCATTCTAAGAGCAGAGATAGCTTCCTAAAACGTGTGAAGGAACATGCCCAGAAAAAGAAAGAAGCCAAAGAGAAAGGTACCTGGGTTCAACTGAAGCGCCAGCCTGCTCCACCCAGAGAAGCACACTTTGTGAGAACCAATGGAAAGGAGCCAGAGCTACTGGAACCTATTCCCTATGAATTTATGGCATAATGGGTGTTAAAGACAAACTAATCTGTGGTCTAAAAAAAAAAAAAAAGTAATTCTCGGGACGAGCAAATGGTGTAATGGCTATATCGCTGGACTCCCATGAAGTCAACCATGGTTCGAATCCTGGACCCAGTGACTTAAACTCATGCTGGGCATGCGTGTGTGTGTGCGCCCAAGATCTTAAGAGGAGAATGGAGAAGGGATTGCGACGTGGCCATCCTCCCCAGGGGGTGATTTCTCGTTTTCTGTCTCTGTATCTCTGTCTTTCTGGCAAGTGCACGCACCCTACAGCAAAAACCTTTCAAAAAAAAAAAAGTAATTCTTAAAAATTCAGATTTTGTTACCTCACATAAGAATACAGTTGAAATTAAGGCCAGAATAATATAATGGACATAGATTCCCTGCCAAGGTTCTAAGGGAAATGAATGAAGTATTTTACTGAAAATGTATGCTTTTAAGATCAAGTCCCATAAACAAGTAAACTGATAAAAAACATCTAGCCCAGTGTTTTTAACCTAATTAGACAGTGTTCTAGTTATAAATGCATAGTTATTTAATTATATAATAATCTTATCTTGTCTTACTTATTTGACTCTCAAGAGGAACATTTTATACAATGAGCTTTCTCTAAAATATCACCTTTTTGTTGTTGTTGTATGGAGGGAAAGATGGAAGAATCAAAAAAGAACATGACTGAGTAGCAAGTTAATTAAGAGGGTCTAGAAAGTTTTATTTATTTAGGGCATCAAATCATCAGCAGTGTATGCACTGATGCACTAAAATGCCAAATACATTTTCTAAACCCAAAGCAACTTTATTCTCTTTAAGAATTTGCATAGGGGGCCAGCAGGTGGTGCGGTGGTTAAAGTGCGGGACTCCTACATGGCTGACCATGGTTCAAATTCTGGACCCAGCAGCTTGAAAATCATGCCAGGCACTTGTGTGTGCATGCCCAGAATCCTAAGAGGAGAACGCAGAAGAAGAGAGTGTGGCATGGCCATGTCCCCCCACCCCCGGCCAAGTGAGGGTGTGATTTCTCATTTTTCCTCTCTCCATCTCTCTGTCTCTCTCTGGCAAATGAATGCACTCTATGGCAAAAACCTAAAGAAAAACAATTGCATAAGGCCTACATTCCTTTTATAAGTAATAAGCATGTAATCAGAAGTCGTTTAAGTTATAAAATAAACACTGTAAGAATCAAATAATCATATATGAATGCATTTAAGGTTTATCTTTTGTGAAGATAAGTTTTATAGCTTAAAACAGGAAGGGGAATGAATTTTGGTGCTTATAATTTTAAAGGTACTGAAGTTAGTATTACCCCTAGTTTCTGACTGTATTTAATTACAATACTTAGGGAGAAATACAGCATTTTAGACTATTTCATCCTAATACTTATTTCTTGAAAAAAAAATATGTATGTATGTGTGTGTGTGTGTGTGTGTGTGTGTGTAATCTGTTTATCCCATTTGGAATTAATTCATAACCAAAACTGGACTGGGGAGAAATGTTCACATATTAAAATGTTCACTTTGTAAGCTAAATAATGTGATTGAATGTATAAAACAATTTTAAAAAATAAAGGAATATACAAGGAAAGAAATCATAACCAAGTGTCTAAAACCAGCTGGCTTGATGTCTAATACTCCCAAAGATGAAATAACAGTCTCTATTAAAGTAATAACAGATTATCTACTAACACATCTAAACAGCATTTTTGTCTTCCCTTTAAAATTGATGGACTCGTGTTTAAAACAAAGATTAAAAGTTTAAATCTAGGCAAAAGCACAATAATACAGGAGGGTACCAAAGTTCTCCTAACTCTACAGGTGCCATTTAGTTTCAAAACTCAATTTAAAGTGCTAGGTTATGAGTTAACAAGGTGTTTGAGTTTGTGTGCATTCATTTTGAAAAAGGGAATGCAAAAATAATATATTTTATCTAATTTTTAAAGCATTCAATCTAAAGGGAATGCAGAGACTCCTGAAAAATTAACAAATGAACAAACAAAAAACCAGAAAACAAACCTCATGCAATCATCCCATTAAATGAAAAGAACCATAAAATAATTTGACTATCTGCACAACTCTGCTCCATGACATCATTAAACAACTGAAAACTAGTTGGCCTATTCAGAACCTGGGTTAATAGTCTTTGATATGTGGGTTTAAAAGACCAGCGAATCAACAGAATGGAGTTTTTCAGTTAGTGGGTATGAGGGGCACCTCTAATATTCCTACTGTTATTCTTACAATAAACAGCTGTTTTGAACATATTAAACGTTATTATAAAATAAAGCTTAGCTCTTCCTAATATAACTATTCCTTCAAAGTAGATTAAGTGAGTAAATGTGTGTGCATGCATATGTATGCACACATGCAAATGAACTTTTAAAAAATAATAATTTATTTATTTAATTTCATTTGTTATTATGTTTTTTATTTTGACCAGAGAAAGACAGAGAGCGAGAGAAAGAGAAAGGGAAAAAGCAAGCCACCAGATCCAGGACTTGAACCGCGGTCAGCCATGTGGGAATCCAGAGGCTTTAATATGCCACCTGCTGACCCAGCAAATGCACTCTTTAAAAATACTTAGGTACCTATAAAGAAGTCTGTCCCACAAGCAATTAAAAAAAAAAAAAATCAAACCCAAATCTGTCCAATCTGTAGATATAACTGATGGTATTCTAA